TTTCATCCGCCCCCGCACAAACGGTTGACTAAGGCGCAGGAATGCGTCTGGAGAAAACTGCAGACGCGATCTTTTCCCAACCCTTACGTGTTGAACAAAATCTACCCGGAGGAGATAAAGCCGCAATGCAAATGTTGTCAGGCTGTGGCAACATATGATCACATACTTTGGGAATGTAGCATAGTGCCGCCACCGGTGGATATTATGCGTGATCCCTCTCTTGAGCACTGGGAGGCCGTGTTGACCAGCTCAGGCCCAGTCGTCCAGACAAGGGTCCTGTAGTGGGTCACACTGGTCGCCGTCAACATTTGGCTGATGGCCATCTAACACGGAATCGTCCGCAGTTGCTTTCTGACGAAATAAATTTTTACCGTACATCCATGTCCCCGACTATAGTCTGCTCAAATAGCACTCTTTGGCGATCAATTGGCCTGTGCGTCATAAAACAACAAACATCATCATCATCAAATTGGTTCACGTGCTCTTCACACTCGTGCTCGATAGTACGCACCCAACAAAGCACCAACGTCGGGGCGGTCGTCGAGCACCACAGACATAGGGCGGCAAACAAATGGGAGCTCAGACTCACTCAAGAAATATATTTTGCTCTGACGGCTCACTTGGACTCATTGCACTTGCACTCGAGTGGACGCACGGACACATTACTCAGCCGGACTCATGGCTTTACCTGAGTCTGAATGAGCCTGAGTGAGTCGACTCATGAGATCATTCGAGTTGAATTAGCTTTTTCAATCTCAGTGTCAATGCTGTTCAACGCCAATACATCGCGTAAACAGTGCTCTCCGATACGCCTTCATATCTTTCACCTTCAATTACGAGCTTTTAGTGATTTCAATACAGCAAGGACTTTTTTACGAAATACGTGACTTCCACGAGATATTTTACTAAAACCATTCTCCTGAAATCCTGCGGCAAAAACATTGGCGCCCCCCCCCCCACCCTTTAGCTTAGTCCTCAGATCAACAATTATGCGGTGATATATTGTTGAAATACCTGTGAAAAAACTTGAGCACAATATTTAGCCGATATAAGGCTGGCTGTAATGCTGATTGTAGGAAGAAACAGGGGCGAAAGAACAGGTATGGATGTTCACCAGTCTAGAAGAACAGGTAACTATAGACAGGAGAAATGGGTTGCGGGCATTTTAAATATAAATAAAGAGAGAGAGGAGGAGAGAGACGGAAGGCCCACACAAAGTCACAGCTCGCAGTCATCATAACACCATAAGTTCATAGCCACCGCAGCAAGTATCTTGCCTCCAAGAATTAAGCAGAGCACTGCCTTCATCGCCTTCACACACGATATAGCCTCGCTGGTCGACATTCGAGAATGGTCTGTCGTCACCAGTCTCTGATCTATGCGATACATAGCGGCTGCTAGAGATGTTCTCTGCAGCAAGGAATTACAGAAGATGCGCTGTAATGTCTTCTCGCTACAATAGTTGCCGCAAAAGGGGATCCCAGCCATTTGAATTCGAAAGGAGAATTACTTTTTGAAAGCCATTTTCAGCTATAAACGTGAAAGCAGAGGGGCATCATTTTGAGGTGGTGGAAATTTCCGGAGCCCTCGACTACGGTGTCTCTCGTAGTCATATGGTGGTTTTGGAACGTTAAACCCCACATATCATCAATAGAGGGCCATCATTTCGACATAGACCACTAGGTGTCTGAAGAGATAAAGTGTTCAGGCAGTGGTTGTGCACTATAATTGCTACCTTCCAAAAGGAGAAAGTGACTTGCTGTGTGACCACTCGAAGTTAGCCAGCAGCGTCATACCTCGACGGGGGTATTCTGTTGGCGATGTTTTCTTCAAGAGCTGATCGAGTAGCAATGTAGACCTATCACGCCGCATTGACTTGGCACTGTCACGTGATTACTGTCACGTTATGTCATTTTTAAAATGCGGTATGGGGATAAATATTGCTAAAATAGTTGCTTGGTGAGTTTCTTCTTGATTAAGATAGATTTACCAACGCAAAACGACATAACACATTAGAAGGAACACACAGACATGGCGCGGAACTGACAACTGATGCCCCGCTGCGGTGATCTAGTGGCTAAAGTACTCGGCTACTGACCCGCAGGTCGTGGGATTGAATCCCCGTTGTGGTGGCTGCATTTTTGATGGAGGCGAAAATGCTGTAGGCACGTGTGCTCAGAGATTTGGGTGCACGTTAAAGAACCCCAGGTGGTCGAATGTTTCTGAGCTTTACCCTACGGCGTCTCGTCATATGGTGGTTTTGGGACGGTAAGCCCCACATAACAATCAATCAATGAATAAATAAATAAATGAATTAACCAATCAACTGACAACCGATTTAGTACTTCAAACGCAAGGTGTTTTTCAAGGCGCGCATCGAAGCAACAGAAAATAAACGCCAGGCGTGCGTAGAAGGCGCAGGACAGTCACAGCGAACGCACTCAACAGCGGCCTTTCAGAACCTTTCCTAAAGACTCTTTGGGAAAATGCAAGAAGTAAACTTTCTAGGTACCCACTATTCCATAAATATTCATAATTTTTACATAGTAGGCCGGCATTCACTATATGCTATCCTTCGTCATTCTTCGGAGAAGCGTGGTGTCCGCTAAACACTTGTAAAAAATTGTGTTGCATTAAGTAGCAGAAGACAATGAAGAAATACGCATGAAGTGGATATATGCCTCACAGTTAATAGGTGATGAAGAATAAGCTTTTCTAATATGTGGGAGCATTGCACGACGCACTCGTTACGCGATTTGCATTGTGTGACGCCTAGCTCTTCTTTTGCTGTTTCAAAACGATTTATTACTCATATTAACGCGATTTCTTTCCCGACTTGAAGCCTGCCTAAGGCAAGTTTGCGAGCGAATCCCATGCACCGACGTGGCTCAACGGAAAAACACTGGGCTAGCACGCAGAGGACCCCCGGGCTCGAATCTCGTTAAGTCATATGATAGTGGTTACGGATACTGATATGATAGTGGTTACGGCCACCAGCGGTGGCGGCGGCGGACAACTACGGCGCTGCGCGAGACCCGTGTTGTGATGTCCTAACAGCTTTCGCTGTAAAATGACACGATGAAAAGGAGCGATTAAAAGCGACGTGAGAACTGCTTGCCGATAAAGACAATCATTCAAAGATAACAGCCTGCAGTCAAAAATTCTGAAATCACCAAGTACGTCTTTAATACAAAAAAGAAGTGAATAGAATAGTTGATCCTAGAACCAACCGGCAAACACGTTAAAGCCAGAGAAGCCAATGCAGCCGCAAAAGAAGAATAAGAAGAGTCTGAAACTTTAAAAAGTAAAATGAAATATAAGAAATGTATAAAACACGGGTAAAAAAAGCATTGAAAATGCATGCGGCGTAGGTATAACTTATACTTGCTTATTCGAAATGAAAAAGGAGGACCTGCTGACACATCTGCCACCGAGCCTCTGAATGTCGGTTGCTTCTAGCAAATTGTATGAGAAATATTAGAGGCAGGATCTCGAGTTGTTCTTCAAAAATAAATGTAGGTGCTATTTCCGGCCCATTGCGCGGCCAGCGCATGTGCACCACTCCTACACGAGATTGAGATCCTAGGCGCTCACATCGTGTGAAGAGAGTCATCTGAAGCCTATCATATCAAGAGAAAAGGCGCGGACTGTATCAGAGACCCATGTCAGTTCAATGGCGAGTAACGACTCGATGCTTGATGAGCGATGCAGCGGCGGCACACGTGCGCAAGGGGTCTGCGGTATTTTTCCGAAATAAGTTCAGTTGATGTTTAGAGTACGCACAGTGTTCCTTTCCTCTCTCCTCGGTATTCTTTTCTTTTCCACTTATGTCGTCTGTGATACAACGCTAACTCGCCCAACAGGAAGTTTTATTGAACTACGAAATCGCTGGAGCAAAGCATGTTGAGAAAGGCGCTCGTCTAAGGATAAACGTGAAGAGGGACACTGCAGCACTCCGCTGCTGATGTAGATAAAGGATAAAGATGAAAGCTTAGGCTGAGGTAAATCACCGGATTGCTTTGAAAGATTTGTTTTACGCGGCACTGATAATACCAAGCCTGAGACCGCGTTTGTAGGGAAGGATGTTTAACCTCTGCTAGCGCCATCGGAAAATTTCAGTTTATTCTTAGGTTGTTCTTCTTATTCCTTACGTGAGTTCCTTACGGTGCATTGCAGCCTTTCAGCTTCACTGATGTCGGGCTCGCCATCACTTCAAGTGGATTGGTGGCAAGTATGGCACCATCACTTTGACGATAAGTTTCAAATAGATGACCATAAAGTTGCTAATTCGTGTCTCTAGATTTGGATAAAAAACTTGAGCGCCTTGGTAAATTCGGTACGTGGATTCTGACACCCGTGTTAAGTCAAACACGTTTTGTGCAGCACCGAAAAACCTTTACTTATAATATGCATGGTATGTACCAGTTAACCAACTTTTGTGTCACATACTCATTTATAATAGATCGCGACAGTGACAAGACACGCTGGTAAGCCGAGAAGCCCCATGGTGCTTCGCTCCGGCTCGAAAATGCACACAATACTAACAATATGGGTGTCCAAAAAATAAAAAAACGCCACAAAACAGAGCCTGTGCCATACCGAAGCATTCTTGTGGATTGCTCACTCACGCTAACCGTACCAGGTGAGCAGAAAGCTATGTATATGAGACAGTGCGAAAAAAAAAAGTCTATTGCAGATAACAGCAACATCTTCATGTTACAAAATAAAAGCTTTGAGCGTTATGATGTGTGAATTGTGTAGTTTAGCTTTAATTGCTCGACGTTCATTTACGAACACTGGTATTGTTCGCAGACATTAGGCACGTTCTTGACGGTATACGTCACTTTTTGCGCAGTCTGTACCAGCTATAGTTACGCGACATGAACGGGCTCTGTGTTCTTTGTTCACTTTTTTTACTGAATGCATGGAAACGACCTCGGGCACCTGTAACAATTATACAAAAAAAACATTAACGAAAGGTTGTAAAGATGATTCCTTACCCACTTTCTCTTTGTTACTCGAAGCTTGCACTTGCCCGTCCACGTTAACAATGCGAGATGACTGTGATTCAACCAGTTTCGTCGCCTTGCCACCTGCGAAGATTTGAAAGGCTTCACTGTGAAACTAAACAGTGTGCGCTCAGGAGCGAGAATGACCAGTGTTCTCTTAGTTGTTGTGTCAGCAGCTGCTGCGCGATAGCGAAGGCTGTAGAGAGGGATAAAAACGTATTTTCCAGTTAGGGAATCAACATCTCCACCTTTTTTTGTTTTTTTTTCATTGACGCATCATATAATGTCTAAAGATATTGAAGCCGAAAAACGCAGAAGGAACACACTAGGATAAAATATAGATATAGAATTTAGAAGTACGTAGGGAGCGTTATCTGTAGCTCTTAGTTACAGAATAAAGATAAATGACAGTTCAATAAGTTACCGCATTAATTTGCAGCCTGTGCGATATAAACCACATTACTTTCACATGCACTGAAGTTATGTCAGTGACTATATAGAGAAGTGATCCCTAATCATGCAAGTAATAGCAGGGGCGGGATAGACTACTTATGGATTTCCCCCTATAAAAAAATGGCTCTGCGCCTTGAAAGAAACGGAATTGGTGTTGCTGATCCTTTTTCGGAGTCATGAACCGGTTCCTCTCCAACGTTGAATGTCCTGTTGTTTAAATACTTTGTTATGAGAGCACTCAAATGAGAAGGTGCTGATAAGAACTGCCGCTGATTCTTTTTCGTGCGTGTTAGTAAGACTCTTCTCAAAACAAATGCCGCTGCTTCAGTCAGAGAGTCCGAGTCCACTCGATTCACTCCGGCAAACAATGACGGCTTTTCAGGAACTGCCTTTCTTAATCAACGCTTCATTTTCTATGCTTCTCCCATATACCATCTGGTCACAGAATTGCGTTTGCTTCTTACGAGGACTAATTTTGCAGTCTGCGTTTGTTTGTCTTTTTCTTCATACTTTATTAATAATAAAAATGGATGGTGTATTGAGACACATACTTGTATGAAACCAACCTTGACATTTATACTTTAAGTGCTTCTTATTTGATTTTCAAGAACACACAGCTACAGCAGCTAGACATGAACTTCCAGGACTGCCTGGGCGTCAAATCTGTTGTGACCATTTCTAACTATATACCCATGGTTATTGGCTGCCTGCACGCCAATAATGCAGTTCAACATAACGATTGGCTAGGGTTATTTCATACTAAATCTCTTCAACTTTTTTCTATTCTTTTCATACGGTTGAGTTGAGAAGAAATTACGTGACTGTGTTTTCTAGAGCGCAGAATGTTGTGATAGTCGTATAAGGCATCCTCATTGCAGGCAAAGACGGTTTTCACAGGCATGCACATCACATAAAGTTATATTGCTCTTACAGTACGGTGATATTGTATTACGATACTACTAAAGACGACCCCCTTCTCGAAGTTCTATTGAACAAACACTTGAGCATGACGTCAGGCTCTACGCAAAGCAGTGGTTAGATTACGTGGTGTGACGCTGCTACATTAAGCCTTCCAGACCTTGTCCGCCTGAGCGTAATTTGCTATCAAATAATAAAGCCTTATTTTCGAACGTCATTCGTAGATAACGCTCCCTCGTTTTTCTGCTCATTGACAGTTTGAACGAAAAAATTTCGTAGAAATGCTCAGTGAGGAAGACGTTGATGACAATATAAAGGTACATCATCATTATGGGTTCTAGTTTTTCTGTAGGGATTTATAATATGCAGGGTAACAAACGCAACATAAAAAGTGTTAGTATAACGAATGGTATGTGCAAATGCTCGAGATAACCGTAGTCTAGGGCAACGAAACTTAGCTGTGAAATTCTTGTCTCTCACGTAAGTGTTCGAAATGAATTACGCCGATATATATGCTTATGTACTCTAATACGGTAGAAGCGGAAGTGCAATCATCTTTATGGCAGGTTTCACCTGCGCCAATTGACGGAACAAACAAAGAACAGCTTTAGTTCGGTACATTTCTTAGGCCTATTTTTTGGCACTTTCATCAGTGGACACGGTACAATCAAACCTAAATATTGAGTGAAAACTGCACTCACCTGTTCTAAGCTGATCTAACTGTTCGACTTCGTCAGGAGCCTGAAAACAAGGCATGACTTGAATGAGCTTTGTCGTGTTGCCATGGCCACTTTTTATTGAAAAATTTTGGGAAGTTATAAGGACATGTGACGCTATGCTGACAGAAGTGCGTTCAGAGTGGTAATGAAACTAACATTATAATAACCCTAAATTCAACACTACAATTTTAACAGGAGTCCCAAATGGTGGCAATTTCTGCTGACGTGTTAAGGGGTAAGTAAGTTGCACTACCACAGCACCTTGATGTTTACTCAGCATGTTGGCGTGTGTAGTGCACTAAAGCACTAAAGATAGATGAATGGATGGATGCTATAAGCGTCCCCGTTATAACGAGGTAGTGACATGTAAGGCACCAGGATCGAAAAAAAAAACGAAAGGAAAACTTTCTTTTAATGTTGGCCTAATGCCTTATCTAGTTCAATTAAATTGGCATTATTAAAACAAAGAAGATTTCACTGTCTATCTTTCTTCCTCTTCCGGCAGAATGACCTCATTGTGCCTCACTATTTCCGTCCTTTATCTCTACTTTCCGCCCTCAATACTCTAATCACCTCTTGCTTCTATAGCGGGCGTGTTCGGCTTTCCATTGTTGTCCCTATAATCCAAGGCCTCATGCTGAGTCGTAGTCACACGTACACCTGTGTAGATATCGCCACATTTAATAAGAACATTTCATTGGTCCCTGAGCTCCCCACAGCATCTACATTGTTCTTCTTTTTTATTGAATCTCGCTTTCTGACAACGCGTTCTAGGACAACCCGATATGGCTTCGAAGAGTAATGCGCTTCCCCTTGAATTATCATAAAACGTCTCCCTAGTTATTTCGTTCTTGCCCTTCGGTAGTTACTTAGAGCCAGCTTCTTTTTCGTTGCTGTCATCCAATAAATCCTCTGCGCCTCTCTCACTTTTCGTTTATAGCTCTACGTTGTCATATCACCCTCGCAGTTAGTCGTATATTTACTGATGAACCTTCTAGTTCTTTTTCTCGTTTTTGTGTCCGCGCTATTCCTATACAAATGTCTGAACACCTTCCTTGCCCATCTACTTTCTTTCATTTTTCTAAATGTTCCCTTAAATCTCATTTCGCTTTGAGCTTCCCTTACTTCAAAACCTGTCCACCCCATATCCCCTTTGCAGCCTCATTTGTCGGCTTCCCGTGAGCGCCCAACGCTAGGCATCCAAAGTCGTTTAATTTACGTCCATTCCTGACTGCACCCCTGACTTCATGAACATTGCTGAGTTTCCAAATGTAAGCCCTGGAAACCAATACGCCTTTCCACAGATCTCAAAGCACTTCGTACCAGCTGTACAAGCAAAGGAATTTGAAACTGCCTTTTAGTGACGTGCAAAGAGCACACGAAGCTTCTTTGCACTTGTCATGCAAAAACAGAACAGAACAGTTCGAACGAACTTGCCTTGATATGAACATATTAGGCTGTCAATTGATGGAAATGCTTAGACAGTGATTGCAATATCTTACTTCTAATCAGTGCTAGGCTAAGATGCGTTAGGCACATCTTTGCTTGTGCAGATTACTAGTGCCTTGAGAAACGGAGCCAAAAATAGAGGCAACTTGGCTACACATAAAAATGCGGCTAAGGGAATACAAACATGATTGTTCTTCATGATACAGTCAGTATTGACAACACTGTATAATAAAGTATTAGTGCAACAGTAAAATAAAATATTTGCGTAAATGCAGTGAACATCATCAATACTCACGTGGTTTCCTTCGCCTGATAGCATTGAGCAAAAAGAAAGAAAAATATGCAAACTGCATCTCTAACACTAATTCGGAAGTAATAAGAAGATGTGTGTGCACTTATGGTATAAGAGGGGAGCGGGCTGGGTCACTTTAGCAACAACTGCAAACTTTGGTTTCAAGGGATGAGGTCGCGCTATTTTTGTAGGCATCAGCAAGCGGCTCGTATAGCCTTCTACGTGCTGTGATCTCAACGCGATGCCGTCAGACGACACACTACACGACAACTGTTCTCCCCCCGAAGGGGTCGTATTCCTTTACACTAGTGTTTCGAACACGAGATTGGATTAAAAAAAAGATGGACAACTAAAATTAATTACTTCGTATAACTGTACAATTTGTCACTATCGCATTGCTTCACAGATGTTGCAAAACTGTGATTTTTTTTTTGTCTTTATAGGCAATGTCTTAATGGGCTTGTCTAATGAATTATAGTACAGACCATGTTTTTTAAAAACGTGTGAGGATGCACCATATTCTCAGTGCGGGTATTCTAAACGAGATTAGAGCATTAATTTGTCTATAATTATGTTTGCCTGTCAGCCTAAGTTACTTGTGGTCAAATTTAACGCATCGTCAATCGCGATTCTTTAGTTGTGTTTGAGGCTGTTTTGAACAAGACACTTTAGACAGTCCAGTTTAGTAAACGAGATAACGCGTGTACATTTTACTTGAATAAACAAAAAATTGAATAATAATCACAGGGTAATGAAATGCATTGTCTAGCGGGATTTTCATAGGGTACCTGCCAAAATATCAATGAGACTGAAAATGCAACAGTCTTTCTTGGATCACAACAATTCAATCACTGAATCTGTCCACTATCTTTCTGGATTTTCAACTTCATCTTCCGAATTAATTAGCTGAAGACAACTGGAACATGTTTAACAAGCCTCACTTTCCTTTGCAGGATTTATTTCCGTAATAAAACGCACTTAGGATCCCCGCCGCGGTGGCCTTGTGGCTAAGGTACTCGGCTGCTGAACCGCAGGTCGCGTGATTGAATCCCGGCTGTGGGGGCTGCATTTCCGATGGAGGCGAAAATGTTGTAGGCCCGTGTGCTCTGATTTTGTGCACTCTAAAGAACCCCAGGTGGTCGAAGTTTCTGGAGCCCTCCACTATGGCGTCTCTCATAATAATCATATGGTGGTTTTGGGACATTAAACCCCACATATCAATAAATAAAGACGCACTTAGTATATATATATATATATATATATATATATATAAAGTAAGTAAGTAAGTTCTATCACAGAAATAAATCCTGCAGAGGAAAACGACGCTTGTTAAGCCTTAACGATGATATGAGTGCAAGCTCATGGTATCTTATATAAGTAAACCTGTAGAAATGGTGGGCATTCTTTAACGATCAACGTGCGATGACAATCGAAGAAGCGGCTTGCGTAACGAATGTGATTCCGCAAAAATTTTTGTGAAATTTTTTCTCGCTAGGCAGACCGAGCGGCACTCAGTTCATCCAATCAAAACGCAGCGTTCAGTCGGAAGAAGTGCTTGCCTTCATTTATCTCTCTGTGGATTTGACCAGGCTTGCAAGTGGGGTTGATCCCGCGATAGTGCAGGGCTCATAATTAGAAAATACAGTTGAGCAATGATATAGAGGCGATGTGAGAGTGATCACGCAGTATCTCCGCATCGCCTCCGGCCTGGCGTGATTAAGTCGTATACATTTCATTCTTCAACATTCTACCCTCCATCTCCAGTATTCCTCGCCTTGTTCTACCCACTTCTTTTTGAAACCTGTCTGTACCATTCGTACACTAATGTTCAGTACTACGCGCTAATTTATTATCCCGTGCCCTGGCAAATCGTCATCTCTACAAATATAGAACTATTATTTTTATTTGAATATGAAAAACATGGCTAGGTAAACTACGTCAGAGCCGGCATTCCCATCAGCGTGATAGTAGCAGTGGCGTAGCCAGGGAGCAGCACACCGGGCTCGTGCTTCCAACGTCACTGACGGTGCTTCCAACGACGTGCGCTTTTGGTTGAGACGTAAAAAACAACGCAAATGTCGAAGCAGCCAATAGCGACCATTGTCGTTACTCGTGGCAAACGGCTGTCTTTTTTTTTTCGTTTCGCCTAGTCATATGCAGCTTTTGCTGTAAATGAAGGGTAAGAAAATACCAAACGGGCAGTTGATGCACGTACACAGGATACGCGTTAAATGTTGGCAAAAGGAATAAGTTAAAAAGAACCCGCGGTGCTTAGAACAACAGACGTAAGCATTTCAGTGCAACTAATGCCTGAGTCATCAAAGCGAGACTACTGCAACCAGTAGCTTACACAGCACCGCAGTAAACTGCATTCAGGTAAACTGCTTCATCCCCCGAATGAGATTAACTCGGGATGTTCGATCCGCATGAATTCCTGCACCGGTGGTATTCACCTAACTGGACGTCTGGAAGTTCTGAATAACGTCCCGACAAAAAGCTTACGCATGCGTCTCGAAGCTATCATTAAGACTATCTAGCTTGCAGATGAGCTCTGCATTAGCACGACACTTATACAGAGTCTAACTGAAGGTTTACGTAGTCATCTTGTACATCGCAGCGAAGAGCAGACTGCACAGCAAACAGACGCGAGTTCAGCTTTTCCTGTCAAGCGTGGATGGGCTGTCGAGAAAGCATCGACCAGGAGCCATGCACGAGGAGATTTTTCAGGTCGGGCATTACGGGAACCTTGATCGATTCCTTCCCACAAAACCTGCGGCAGCAATCGCTCCTCCCGAGCTTCTCCTGCAATCTTTCGCTCGCCATGCTGACCGTGGCGATGACTACTGTACTGTCAGCAATCTAATTGCGTCACGTGCAAAAAAGACCCGGGAACTCTGTTAGAATCTGGAGGATTTCTTTGGTGCAGTTGGAAGATGTGCGTTTGCTTTTCCTGTCTTCTGAATGTTTTACTTTACAGATCTCTTCCTTGCGGCGTACATAATTTTCGCCAGCCAATTATCTGGAAATCTTGGTTCCGTCTTAGCAAGACCACGTTGAACGTTTGAATAATACATATACGTTCTCAATTTTCCCGGCAGAGCTGACACCGGTAATTGGAGCGTGATACGAATGATCGGGATCACAAAGAGATAAGGAATGGTAGAAAAGGAAAGCTAGGAAACCAGTCCCGTGTAACCGGTTTTCTGCCCTACATGTGGGAACGGGGTGGGTGATATTGAAAGAAAGAGTGGGAAAATAGATATTGATAGCAGATAACAAAGCACACAAAGCATAAGCGGCAGTGACGTCACTGTCACAGCCGCTTGTCCAAGTCCATTTTTCTGAAACAATTTCAGTAGTACCTTGGTTGCCTTCAACTGCGATGCTCTTTGTCTAGGACATGCAAGAATAGATTCAACAGACTTTTGTCTATTGTCAAGGAGCTCTATAACGGACGCCAGCCTTTGACCATTACGGACCGGACAGCCACACAGGATGTGGCGCAGCTTCTCCTCACAATGACAGGCATCAGAGAGAGTGTTGTCGGCCATTTCAATGATAAATGAAATGGATTTTTTGTGAAAGCCCCACCCAACTGTAAGTGATAAAGCATTGTGGTATTTCTTCGGCGGAGTCCATTCGACATATTGAAATACTGTTACGGCCGGGGTCTCACGGCATCCCACCTGTGCTGCCAGTTGTTGCGGCTGGGGTCCGGTGGTTGTCCTGGGCAGCTGGCTGCCGCCACCGGACCCATTTAGCCCATCTTGCAGGGAGGAAGGCGCATTCTTCGGGATCTATTTTACATTATTTACAAGCGAGCATTTCTCGCCACATGACGAACATCTAGACGAAGATGTCGTCATACGTCGTGACGACCTTGTCGAGAGCTCTGCATGGCGAAGGCATCAGCATGAAAAGGCACTGCATCGAAAAGCACTGAAGCGAAAAATGAACACGAAGCCGCCTGCGAGGGCTGATTATAAACACTCCCGTTTCCAGATCTCTGGATGGAGGAAAGGGCACCAAATTACACTGTCCAATCACAGATCACACATAACCGGCGAGAGCGGCAAGCATGCGCTGGCCCACGTGAACGTTCAGTATTGAGGCGATGTCCCTGCACTGCCATGTGTCACCGACGTGGCTGTTCCTCGTCGTGTGTGTGCCGCTACGAGAGGTGTCTCCAGCTCACGGACAGCATACATCAAAAGGGCCTCAACCAAGTTTAAAGCGTCCGCCCACTCTGCTTGGGGTGATTCGCGGCTACCACCTGCTAACCCTTCCAAAGAAGGATGTCACCACCGCGTAAACACTTGTCGTCCTCTCGCGAAACGGCCTACGCCGTCGTGGCGGCACGATGCCTCAGTTGGACAATACATGGCGGGCTGACAATGGCCGGGCTTGGCAAGGAGCCCCGAGGGCTCCGGGCAATGCCCGGCCTGAGCAAGTGGCTGAGGCAAAGAGCCCCTCAGTGACTCGTTCGCAGTACCCGAAATTTCGCTCCTCTTCTCGGTTCAAGCGCCGTACCTAACAATACATGAAAGATAGCAGGCGGTGTTGATGTTCTGTCCGGTTAGGCTGGCTGCTTGGTGGGCCCCATAGAGAGAGCACGATCTATTGTGCAAGCCATCAAAGACGTTTTGGAGCGTCAGACCTCGAAATTGGTATGGTATCTTCCTGTCGACAGTAACGACGTCGGCAGCTCCAGAACTATAACTGCCCTTTGTTTGGTCAACCTCGAAAAGGTCAGCGACTCCCAGGTGTGTCCGGAATCATGGGCCACGTATTTGAAGTTCGATGTCTTCTTCACACATCCCACAAGAAAAGGCATCGCATGACGTTTCAGTGGCTTCCAAGCCACTGCGGCGACGCAGGAAACGGACACGAACTGACAGAGTGTCACAGAAAGGGCAAGCCCACTCGCTGTGCGATGCTGGCATTGGGGAATTCAAGTATCGGATTAGCTAGGCGATGCGACCGAGCATGGTTGCACCTCTTGAACTTCTGGCGACCC